TTATGCTAATGTTCATCTTTGTAAGCGCATAAGACAGTGCAAATTATTTCTGTGACAGTCTTTTGAAGTGTGTAAAGCTCCATTTTATCCCATACATAGTCAAAATATTGGGGGGGATGATTCAATGGGCCATCCCCCCCTTGTCAAATATTGGGGGGATATATCCCCTCCATCATCCCCCCCCCCGGGATCTACGCCTATGATAACGCCTCTCCCGTGCACTCCTCCCGGCACAATTTTGGCCATTGAACCACCACTTTCATTGTTGTCGTTCCTTAACTTCTTTTATTTTTAACTGTAATTATTTTTTGTTATTAATATCAATAAATAAAGTGTACATACTCAATTATAATTATTTCACGTGAAATGAAAAATATAGTACTTGCAAGAAGAAAAAATACACGTTATTGTACTACGTAACATAAGTATAAAGAAAATAAATAATTTTATTATATATATATATATAATATATATATATATATGTATATATATATTTATATGTCCACCAATCATATTATACTTTACATTTTATCATGATTTTTGTAATTGCCAACTTACTTTCATGTAATAGCCAACTTACTTTAATATAAAGGACAAAATAATACATCATGTAGCATAGCTCTCAACGATGTACTCCTATATATGAATAAAGAAATTGTGTAATAATAATAATATATATATATATATATAATATATAAATCATCAAATGTACATATACATTGTTTACTAAGGTCAAGATGGAACATCGTAGGCTTTTCAACAAATAAAGTCCTATAAAAAGTCACTGTGTAATAAAATGCCTCCGACAGAAATCAAACCTCCGACCTCTCGATGACAAGGCGAGCGTCATAACCACTAGACCACGAAGGCTTCATGGTTGAACAGGTCCAAATAACCGTCGAGAACAAATTATCGTTTAAATTTAATATGTTTATACATAATATATATAATAATATAAATTTATTTCATTTTAATACAGATTTACATATGTTCACTGTACTCTAGAAATAGGTCTATGTATACGTTGTGTCGGTATTCAACATGTTTGAATCTTTTTCTTTATTAAAATATCAATTATTATCATAATCTTTATTGATTACTTTATCACATATAGTATTTTAAATAAATTTATTAACAATTTTAAATATTTAAATATGAACTATGAAAGTAAATACACGTAGATTAAATTACTAAAAATGGACATAGTAGTAATCTTTATCTATTCATTAACGCGAATAATTTTTAAAATCCTCTAATCAATTTTTATATAGCCGGAGTTAGTTTCGGCCTAGGCAAACCTTTCCTAAAAAGGTACACTTTCTCCATCAAAAGGCTTCTGCTATGAATGGAATGACCTGCTCGAAGCACAACTCCTGTAGACCAAACCCAGTACCGTTACGATTTTTAATCATACGAGAAATCTGCTCACGATGATTTATATCACAATTCATCCCTTTTAAGGCTTTTCTAATTTCCATATAATTAGTGATCCGAGTACATTGTCTTGAGCAAAATTTTTCAAATACGATACTGCTGTTACGAGACACTTGGCCGTATTGTTTGTTTATCTTTGACAAGAATTTTATGGTAACTGGAAGACTTTGGTGTGAGTTCAAGGGGCTAAAAAGGTTGCCGCGACCACAAGCTTAGTTGGTAATATGCCTACTTTCTAATCTCAGGGTCCCCGGTTAAATTCCTGTGACAGCAGATTTTTTTTTTTTTTCATTTCTGATCCTCAAGACACCACGGCAACTCCACTCCACTCCCCAATCCTCGTAAAGAGACTTCGCTGATTAATGATTGCGTTATTTTATTTATTTAAGAAGGCCCTAAATATGTCATCCGATGTTCTAGGATATGCTGAATGAAAGGGTCACCCATAACAATATGGTTAAAAAAAGCTTTGCGAATGTCTACTATTTATTTCATTAAACACAAAGCACAGTACGTTTTAATTTCATAATTCATCCCTTTTAAGGCTTTCCCAAGTTCCAGTATAAGTGGTCGGAGTATAATGTTGGTCTCCTCGAGCAAAAAGAAATCTGGTCAGATTTAAAGAAAATTTGTGCATCATCAAGTGGTTATCTTGCAAGCTTCACAACTGTCGATGAATTTGACGCCGTACTCGATTACATAAGAAATAATTACCCAGGCGGAATGTATGTGATCGGCTTATCTCGGCAGGCGGATTTGGATCGGAATGTTGATGCAAACTGGAAGTGGGAAACAGGAGAGGAGTTTCATTCTTCTATTCAATGGGGAGGTCGAGATCCTGACTTAAACAGTTCCACACAATGTGCGACTAGGATCGCAACAATCACTGGTTTACTCTTTGATATTCCTGCTACCACTCTAAATCCCGCTTTCAGATCGAAAGGATACATTTGTGAATATAGTAAGTGTTATGAATTAATGATATACATATATTTATATTTTATAATAACATGATATTAAATAAGTTTTCTACAAATTATTTAAATGGTCTTTAGTAAACGTAAACTTACGAAATCAATATAATAATTTAAACATGTTTCAAAACAAAATGTAATATTTATCAAATATTATTGATTCGAAGTCAATTTTCCCTAACAATATCATTATGATTTTTAGTATATTTTTACTTAGAGTCGGTATAACATTATTAATTTCATTGTTAACCATGAGCTTCCACAATTTTCCTAATGTTTTATTTATATTATTTTTGCAAATGATATTCAATAATATAAAAACACAGATACTTAAATAAAGTAAATAAAACTTTAAAGGATCAATTTTTATTAATTTTTGCAATTTAATATTTAAATGTATTATATAATATTTAACTGCGTAAGCATATGTTCGAAAAACAAACATAAACTAGAAGTGTTTTAACTTGTATGATACATTCCCAGATTCACTGTATTTTCAATCTTTGAAGAATCGTGGAGTCACTATGGATGCTTCGTACATGCGATGTGCGCTGCGGTGTCTGCGACAGACCGAGTGCCAGGGATTTCATGTCAATGATGCTGGATGTCAGATTGAGAAGGAGATAAATGATGACTCTAAAGGTCATTATGCGAAAAAGGAGGGAATAATTGGGTAGTATTTGGAATTAGTATTCTACCCAATCAGATTTTACTTTTCATATTTTTATTAATTTCTATCAAAAATACCAGTCTTGGTTAAATTGTACCTTATATCAAGTGGGCCTCTGCTTTATATCATGTATTCAGTTTTCATTTTAAGACAATTGAATTTCAACCTTACTGAACATCATCATGACATGGTGTGCTAGTGTTTTTTTAATATAAGTGACTGGGTCTAAAGAGAGAAATAAATGAAATATTTTAGCAAACATTGTTTTGGCTTGGCTGAAAATACAATGAAATACAAAATGAATTTATCACATACAATTAAACAATGTAAACTGAAATATGTCAAATTCAAGTCAATTTTCAACAAAGGAAATTTAACTGATTATTAAAACGGGGGAGGAAAAATATCCTACTGTTATAAACTTTAACATTTTAGTTTACAGTTTTTTGTTTTATAGATTATAATGCAGATAATAATAATAATAATAATAATAATAATAATAATAATAATAATACACCATAAACCATACGCGAGCGTGCCGTCTCAACAAGCACCAATGGCTCTAGTTTGCAGCGCCCAGTCTTCACCGCTCGGTCATTCAACTTACTGCATGTGTCATGTGTACCTCATTATTTAAACTTTAAAATGACAGCATGATGGAGTCGAACGTCATTCTTTTTCAGTGTTATTTTTGTATTGGTTCTTTAAAGGCTTGGTTGAACATATGCCTATTAACACCGCGATAAATGTCTTCATATTAATATGTCTGACAGGTAAAGATTACTAGATATCACAAGGAACGATTCTAAAGTCTTGGAAATCCTACCAAGATTAGTATATGAAAATAATGCACCATGTTAAAAGCACCAATTTAGCAAAATGTTGTACCTTGGACTGGATTTTAATCCATAGACTTCTGTCTTAATTTTTTAAAAATATAAAACATATAATCGATTTTGGCACAAATGGCATTCCATATTACTTCTTTGCAGCAATGGCGTTCATCACTATAAAACGTTTTCTGGATTTCTAATTCCACCTTAATAAAAATTCAACAAAACCCAAAATTTCCCTATATAAACTGACGATAGTGGCGCTCTCGGGAAGTTCCTAACGCTAGGAAAAATCAATAAATTAGAGACTTGCGGAATGTCTAGTCTTATACCTGTGAACTAGGAATTACACTTAATGTGAATATAAGCCTAATTTTACGATGTCTTTGTAAGTCGTATTATAGACCATGTTACCAGTTTTACATTTGTGTTATAATAAATATTACTAGTTTTGACATTAATATTATAATTATTTTATTTCAGAGTCTTCATTGAAGCCGGAGCCCCTAAAGGGACATGGTTTAAAAAAATATTAAACTATTACGACGGAACGTTCCCTCGAAATATTATTGCGTTCCTTGAAATACCATTTCGTTCCCTCGAAATATTAATTCGTTCCCTCGAAATAGTATTTTGTTCCCTCGAAATAATATTTAATTCCCTCAAAATAGTATTTCCTCCCCTAAAAATAATATTTCGTTCCCCCAAATTAATATTTCGTATATGGCACGCCCTACAGTGCCGTCGGCGTCGGTGGATCGTTCGGCGAAAAAAGCATTTGACTGCGACTATCATTCGGTGGTGGCGCAGCATACAGTATATATACAGTAGAACCCCTCTTTGGGACACCCCTATTGAGGAGATACCACTATTAAGGGGACACTTTTCCATAAATCGAAGGGAGATGTATATTTTAACACTACAGCCAACCTCTAATAAAGGATACTTTCTGAGTGTGCCAAATAGTCAAATACTCTCTAATTGTTGTTATTGTATCGCAACAAATAGAGCAGTCTCAAAATAAAAACAAATTATTCAACTTTATATTTTGAGACTTTTTAAGCAATAAAAACATAGGGATTTCTTCTTACTTTTTCGTGTACATTCTTGAAGAATTTCAATCCATAACATAATATTCACCCTTTTTAATTTTAAGTCGTTACTCTATTCATGCTATATCCGTTCAACAGAAACAATGTTGGTTAATTACATTTTAATGATTTCTCGTTATAAATGTATTTAATTTGCATTGCAAATTATTGCTATAAAGTTATTCCAATTATACTGTAACTGGTTCTATGGCAATAAAAATTAAATTATAAAGAATACATGTCGTCGTTGTATGAAAACATGCCAAAACTCCTATTAAGAAGGGGGCAATTTTACGTTTTAGTTTTTACGTGTCGTCTGAATAATGGGTACCCCCAGTGATATATATATATATATATATATATATATA